AGTTTTAATCAAATTTTGTTTTTTGTCTCTCCCCCCCCCCCCCTCAACAAAAGGGGGGGGAGGGAAGAAGAAAAATATATGACAAATATCCAGTCGTTTTAATTTCTATGTGTAAGACTTAATAGATTTCTTAAAGATCTTGAAATTATGCTGAGGAAAAGCACTGCAATATGATGAGGGACCCCCAATTTTACTGCTGGACTATTTTCAAGAAAACCATATTTGGAAATATTTAAACTGTCGCAAGGAGACACAGCTCTGAACCCCGCTACATTGTGATGGGTCTTTTTATTTACATATAATTATCAGTTTAACAAGCATAAAACATTGGGACACTTTCAAAAGATTTTAACAGACCAATTGGGGCCGCGAGTTTGACAATAAGAGCCCAAAGTTTGCAAAATAGCTCTGCTAAACTTTCTGTGAAGCAGCAAGCTCAGTCCAACGCTGCCAATAGACGCTATTTTAATGCGTTTGTCCTGTTGACTTCATGTAATATTTTTTGCAACAGACAGGCAGTAGTATCGCATTTCACGTTTTACACGACTCTTCCCCCCTCTTTTTCTGTTTTTTCAAAACTTTCGTGGAACCAAAGAGGCTCGGAAAAACTGCACATTTCTTGCACTTACTCGTTCAGTTGCGAAACTTTTCTGTCCTCTCCTCACAGACTTTCTTCTCGCTCGTGTACAGATGCTAGTTGCAGACAGAGACTCTTAGCTTCTTTACTTTAAACTCCAAAACTACCCTGCGGACTTTTCTTTCTTCCCTCGTCTTCTCTTTTTGTCCTACGTGCGCTTGGCAGGGGCAACCCAGCACTGAACTAGCGCCCGGTCTTTGCCTACATACCTAAAGCCTGAACACAAAAGAACAGCGACTCGTGAAACTCCTACATTTTTATCACGGTAAAGACAGTAATGAAGAGTTTCTCGGGTAAAGAAGATTTGAAGTGTGAAGCTCCAGATGCCCTTTCCCTGTTCCTGACTCCTCCCTTTCGGAGAGCAGACACACTACCTCCCCTCTTTTTCCTTCTGCCCCCTTTTCCCTCTTTCTCTCCTTGCCTTATACCAGCGCTCCTTCCTGAGACGGTGCAGTCATGTTTGATGAGGGTAAAACGAAATGGTCATTTTAAAACAGGTTACAGTGTGCTTGTTTAAGTTAATACGTAAGTAACTTGTTACTTATAGGTTTTTTTTTTTTTTGGTACATAAAATGTGTAACACTGACAGAATGAAAAGTGATACCAAGCAAACATTCAAAACACACCATAAGAACAGTCTTTGGATGCATCACTTAATATAATCAAATTCATTCTCTAAAGTTTGTCAATGCGTTATTAAGTAATTTAAATATGGAAGTGAACTTTGGGACAGCAAGAACTTTAGGTGAAGAAAACTACTCAATGAAAATGGGTAGAAAAAATGGTTTAAGATGGTTCTGAAACTACCAAGCACAAATTCAAATAAAAAAGTATCCACTGATTAAAAATAAAACTTAAAATGTTAATTTAACTACATGACTAAAACATTAAGTAATTAATATAAGATGCTGGGATGTAATTTATTAGGCAAAAGGAAATCCTGTTATGCACATTTATTTTCTAAAGATTCATAATGAATATACGTGATGATTATATAAGATTCACCTGATTATAAATGATTATACATTTATAATTGTTATTAATAAGAGGGTAAAAAGACATATGTTGTCAAACAGAGCGTTTCAGTAGACTATTTGCTTTAACACATCATCATGTATGCATCTTTGAAACAGGGATTCTTTTTCAATATTTCATTATTTTATAAATATTTTAGTGCATTACTACCTCTGACAACTATTATTGCATGTAATATTACATCAGAGTGTAATATGTAATGTGTCTGTGTTTAAGTAAATATCACTCCCTCTATAAATCCAATCTAATTCTCATTGCATTATTTCAGTAGTACAGCCATCTATCCTGGAATGAGAAATAAAATAACAAGCTTATACAGTAGAGAACTCTGTCTGTGGGGAATACTCCTCAAAGTGAGACCTTAACGTAAACATCGAAAGGAGAACTGTGCCTCCTGTAGGGTTATCCCTAATCAATATACATAATCAATATACAGGGAAATTAGGATGTTAAAAAAGACCTTCTGGGCTCACCATCAATCAATGGGGCAGTAACTGATTTTTTCACAGTTGAAAATCACTCTCTAATCTCTTAAGCAGGATCTGACTGCGCGTGTGGCCGACAAGTGAAGTCAAGTAGAGTTCATTTTATGCCATACACACTACTGATGTGTCTGTCAGAAAGAAAAAAACAATGAGATAATGGTTGTGCATTATGTTGGTGATCAAAATTCATTTACCATAAAACATGCTGTTCACATATGTATTCACAGCAAATTAAAACTGTTAGAGTAAAACAAAAAGGGCTTGCTATGATATATGCGTGTAATAGATATATCATGCTGAAATTTAGTGTACCTGTGTAAGGTTTTTTAAGCTTTTCGCCTTCTGTGACAATAATCCAAAGTATATATTGTAGGGACTTAACTGTAATTTAAGTCGTTAATTCTAT